ATATAATTTATTTTAAAACTTTATATCCATGACTTTTTTCAATATTGTCCATGATACACTAATTACAAATAACATATTTACTGTTTGGTTTGAGTTTTCTAAAAACACTTTTCAAAAAATTTTACTTTTTTATTTTTCGTATTTTTTTGTTTTTATTGAATTTTTTAATATTTTAAGCATTTTTTTTATTTCAGACACACTTAACACAAATACATTTAAAAAATATAATTTTTGCGATTTTTTTTTTAAAATCACTAAATACCAAAAATATAAAAAAAATATAAAAAAAATCAGTACATTTTTTTTTTGTATTTTTGTGTATTTATTAATTTTTTAAAATATTTTTTCACAAATATTTTATTTTTTTTAGATACATCATGCATCTAAAAAAGTAAAAAAAAAATGTTTAAACTTTTAAAAATATTGACTAAAAACAAAAATAAAAATAAAAATAAAAAATAAAAAAACTCAATTTTAAAAAAACTTAATTAAAAAAACTCAAACCAAACACACTATTTTTTTTTTAATCTTTCTTGAAGTCAATTATAAAAATTTATGTAAAATATTTTTATAAATATTTTTAATATTGTAATTAATAAGTATCTCCTCTAATTTATTTTCTTGACTCCGCTACAGCGTGTGGGATATATTGGTGGTATTGAAAGGTCAATCCGGGCAAAGAAAAATTCATAATAGGAAACTCTTTGTTTGCATCCGTTATTATCATGAAGAAAAATGCGGCAGACCCCCAGCAAAACCAACCCCCAGTGCCACGTGGCACTGGGTGATTGGAAGGAAAGAAAAAAAAAAAAAAAAGGAAATTGGCCAATGAAAATGAGCTGGGGTGCTGGGGGTGCCCCCAGCTGGGGTCCCTAGCAGTTCTGTTATCATGAATTATTCAAACAAGCTGTACCATTTCATCCATGCCTGTGGTGACTACGATATTATTATTTATGAAAATTTCAATATAATAGTGATTTTTATCATTACTGACATGCAAACATAATTAATCTCAATAAAAATATAAAATTTATTAAATTGTTAGTTGCATTTAATATGTAGGGTTCATCCTTCATGTGTTTCTTTACTATTGATTGGTAATATCACATGTCAATGATGACGTGGTATGACTACTATATCAAATTTTTACGTATATTTTGTATAAAAAATTACTTTATCATTATATAATTTATTTTGAAACTTTATGTCCATGACTTTTTTCAATATTGTCCATTATACACTAATTACAAATACATATTCACTGTTTGGTTTGAGTTTTCTAAAAACACTTTTCAAAAAATTTTACTTTTTTATTTTCCGTATTTTTTTTGTTTTACTGAATTTTTTTAATATTTTAAACATTTTTTTTAATTTTAGACACACTTAACATAAATACACTTCAAAAAGTATAATTTTTGCGATTTTTTAAAAAAAAAATCACTAAATACCAAAAATATAAAAAAATACAAAAAATCTATTCATTTTTTTTTGTATTTTTATGTATTTATTAATTTTTTAAAAATTTTTTCACAAACATTTTATTTTTTTTAGATACATCATGCATCAAAAAAAGAAAAAAAAAATTCTTAAAATTTTAATAATATTGACTAAAAACAAAAAAAATAAAATAAAATAAAAAATAAAAAAACTCAATTTTTAAAAAACTTAGTTAAAAAAACTCAAACCAAACACACTATTTTTTTTTATCTTTCTTGAAGTCAATCGTAAAAATTTATGTAAAATATTTTTGTAAATATTTTCAATATTGTAATTAATAAGTGCCTCCTTAAATTTATTTTCTTGGCTCCTCTACTGCGTGTGGAATGTATTGATGGTATTGAAAGGTCAATCAGGGCAAAGAAAAATTCACGATAGGAAACTCTTTGTTTGCATCCATTATTATTATGAACTGAATTATTCAAACAAGCTGTACCATTTCATCCATGCCTGTGGAGAACATAACGAAGATGGAGATGCTAAATTGTTAAAATGTTCATAATAACAAAAATAAATTATATTTGGTAAAATTAATATATTTAATTACTAGTTTTATTATAAATTAATCTTGTACATATAATTTCTATTTAATAGAAAATCATTTTAATATTTATAGAGGATTAATGTAATTCTGTTATTATATAACTTTACTATAAACCCATCATCTACACTTATTATTTAGAATTTATCTTGGAGAAATATTTTCGTAGAGAAGAGGAGAGAAGAAAAAATGATTTGTTGAGATAGTTATCTATATTTTGTATATATTGTTTATGTTATGGGAAATTTTGACTTGTGGCTTGGTTGCCTCCTGGTGATTGTGAACACTGGATTAGGACCCTGACAACATGAGCCTCACAACTATATTTTTCTGTTTTCTTGTTTCTCTGTCTCTGTCTCTCTCTCTATTATTATTATTATTATTATTATTATTATTATTATTATTATTATTATTATTATTTCTTATCATTGTTATAGTAATATTCATGCTTAATATTCTGTTTATTGTTTTGCTAAATTAACAAAATGTACCCACCAGAGTAGAGTCGCATATGTTACTGAATTAATTGTTTATTGCAGTGGTTAGCGATTGATTATACAGTAGTGAGTTTCATACTCTTGCATGACCTATATTATCATGCAAGCTTTCTATCTCTTATCTAGAGCATGTCATGCGTTAAAACTTAAAATGCAAGAAATAAGTTTTACTTGGAGACGTGAAGTTATTCTCTAATGACTGTTTCTCCTGCGCATTTTCACTTTTTGTTCGGATTGTAATTTCCTAAGTTGTTGTTTCAATTCATTTCTGATTTTTATATCCAAACATTTTGAAGCAATTAATCTCACATTCTTTCCTTTTGTGCATAAAGAAGCTGGATGGATTTACCAAAAACAATAGAATGTTATTCATTTGATGAAATAGTTTCACGTAACAACAGATATAATCAGATAGCTAAGCAGAACTAGCCTGGTAGGCAGGTAGATAAGATGAGTTATTGTTTGAATGTAAAGAATAACTCACTTGTATTATAAGTTTTTATTTACCAGAAGCACGTTATTGACCCACGTAGTACTGTGGTTTGGTATGAATTGTCGTTTTACAGCATCCATTTGGATTTTTATTTCGGGTTACATTTGATAAATAATACTATTAGAGCTCCTTCCAAGTTTAGCTTTTTAATTTAATCTCTTTTGTTATTCTCTCCATCTTAAAATATTTTTATTTTATTTTATTTTTTATTATTTGAAAATATTAGACTCTCTTCAAAATTAAATAACTAAAATAGCATGAATTTCTTATTTTGTCATTCTTTTAAATTCATTAACATTAATATTTTTTTTTTTTTTTTGATTTTCAGCCACCGCCAAGCCACCGCCAAGCCAACACGTGGCACTAGGGAGGTCACTGGGGTCACCCCTGCTGGGGTCCCCAGCAGAGTTGTTTTGTTAATGGCATTGATGAGTGTGTAAGTAGTAAAGTAACATTTGCATTGCTAGATTGTTTAAAACTAACAATCTGAGTGTCACAGTGTGTAAATTTTTAAAATTAATTTATTTTAATATTTTTAAATCCTAAATTTTCAAGGACAATATTTTGAGTTTGGGAAATAAGTATAATGGAAAAGAGAATGAGGTGAGTTAATTGATAATGAATGATATCATGAGTGTAGTGTGTTAGATTATAATGATGAAGATGATGAGTGCTGGAGATAAACTTAGAATGTCTATATAGGTGATGGTGTAAAGAGTGTTTTGTGTTTTCATCTGTGAATTCATTGAATGGGTAGAATACAGGTTCATATTGTCCTCAATAGCCTTTTTATTTGAAAATATTATTGTAATATAAATTATCGTATTAATTATGTGTACTAAGAGGATTAAAGGTGTGTAAAAAGAACTAGCCTTCTTAAAACCTAACCATAATCCCATAAGCACTTGAAAGTTAATCTACAAAATAATTGTTAATAATTACTGCTTGGATTTTAAATTTTTATTTATTGACAGACTAGAAAAATAAAAATCTATTTTATTTATTGGGAAAATTACATCGACAACCCTTGCATTTCTTTTCTTCTGTCATTTTACTCCTTATAATTTGTATTTTCTTGATTTTCACCTTTAATTTTATATTTAGTTTCAGTTCGGTCTAATATTGGTTAAACCGATTAAGTTATTAAATTGAACAAATTTATACTTTTGTCTACAAAAACAAAACACATGCCGCTTATGTGCTTATTTTCCACAAAAAAAAAAAAAAAAAACACTAACAATTGAAAATAGTTGGACCAAATTTAAATAAATCATAAATTTAGAATTAAAATTAAACCAATTAAAATTATAAAAATATAAGGATCAAAATATAAAGGCTAACAATATAATTTTTCCATATTCATATATATAATACTTACATATTTATATAACCCATGCATTTTTGTGACTAGAAAACCCTATATATGCTTTATACGACATTATAGGGCGGTGTTTCTTGGTGATCGAGTCCACAAGTAAAAAATTGAAGCATTCATTAGGGGTAAGTATGGTCTGGATTGGATTGGATTGGATTGGATTGTGGTAAAATCAAACTAATCTATTATCTACGGTTCCTAAAAAATTAGAACTAATCCAATCCGTTTTAATTGTGGAACCAATCCGAACCAATCAATTTAAATATGGATTGGATTAGTTTAAGACCACAAATTCACATAATTACATAACAAAAAATATATATAACACTTTAATTTCATAAAAACATAAATATAGCACTATATTAGTTCTATAATAGCAACATGTCTTTCTATAATAGCGACATACTGTTCTAGAATTTTAACAATCATAAGAAAACTGGTTCCACCATAAGTATTTGGACCATTACAAATTATAACTAAAAGCTAACAAACAGAAGTAATAAAAGAAGAGTTGGGAAAGCCTATGATTCAATAAATTGGGAATTTTTGCTGACAATAATGGGAAATTTTGGTTTTGGTGCAAGATGGATTAAGTAGATGGAGATTTGCATTTCTACGGCTATGATGTCTATATTGGTTAATGGTGCACCCACTGAGGAGTTTCAACCACAAAAGAGGTTAAGGCAAGAGGACCCTCTATCTCCGTTTTTGTTTATTATCACAACAGAAGGTCTCAACCTCTTATTGGAAAGGGCCATAGAGAAGGGTCTGAGTAAAGGTTCTTCAGTTGGTCCTGAACAGTTGGGAATCTCACATCTCCAATTTGCAGATGACACTATAATTTTCTGTGAAGGTGAAAATGAGGAAGTTCTAAACATAAAGAGGGTATTAAGGTGCTTTGAGGTGATGTCAGGATAAGATCAATTATCACAAAAGTGTAGTCTCTGGGGTGGGCTTCCAAGATGACCAAACTAAGGAATTTGCTAAGGTTTTAAACTACCTGACAAAGAAATTGCCTTTTAATTTTTTAGGTCTACCTTTAGAGGCCAATCCTAGAAGGAAGAACACATGGCTCCCAGTTGTGGATATGGTTTAGAAGAAGTTATCTTCTTGGAATAGGAAGTTGTTATCCTTTATTAGGAGATTGACTCTAATGAAATCATCCCTTTCAAATATGCCAATCTATTTCCTTTGTATCTTTAAAATGCCTAAGGGGGTTGTTAAGACTATATCTAAGCTTCAGTCCAGCTTTCTGTGGGGGAGGGAATGCAGTTAAAAGGAAAGTGCACTTGGTCAAGTGGAGGGAGGTCACCAAAAGTAAAAGTCAAGGAGGCTTCGGAGTGAGAGACTTAGGTGAGGTAAATGAATGTTTGCTACTAATTTGGTGGTGAAGGTATGGTAGTGAAGGTAAGGCACTGTGGAAATATGTGGTGTGTTCTAGGTATGGCAGAGTTTGTGGGGGTTGGGTTCCTTCAGTGAATCAATCAGTAGGGGCATCCATAGCTTGGCAGGATATTATGCAGATTATTGCAGTTAATTAGCACTTAGGTGAGTTTTATGGTGGCTAGGTTAAAATCAATGTTGGAAATGGGAGGAGAATTCAGTTCTGGTCTGATGCCTGGCTGAATAACAGAGGTTTGAAGTCTGAATTTCCCAGATTATTTAGCTTATCCACAGAGAATGAGGAGTCTTTTGCAGCAAATCAATGCTAAGAAAAGTATCTTAGGGAGGTGACAACTTCAATTTAGAAGGCATCTCTTAGCCTGGGAAGAAGAGGAGTTGCAGAGGCTGATTGTAATGCTGAAGTTATCCCTTTATCTTAGATGTGGTCTTGAGGATTGTGACAACCGTCTCCTTAATTAAGCAAATTAATTAGATTGATTATGTGCTTAATGTTAATTGTGTGATTGGGTGGTATTGAGTGTTATTGTTGTGCCATGTGACTATTCGAAATATGTTATTGTGGGCAGATAAGTTAGAGTAAATATTAAACCTATCTAATTCGTTAATTTTAACAGGTTAGAATTAAATGATGGGATAGGAATTAGAGCCTAATCTGCATTGGTATAATTTAATTTAGTGTAAGTAAAATTTTGCATCATAAATTACTTTATTTGTGATTATATTTGTTTCACGTAGAAAGATATATTCATGTTTCCATTCCGGTTTGCGAATTGAAGGCCTTATCGTTATCTGATTCAGAAATGGACTTGAGATATGTGTTATTTAGAATTTTTAGAAATTTATGGTAGGTTCGATTTAAATTCGATTCGGAACCAAATAATTAGAGTAAATAACATCAATTAATTAATCATTAGATTTCGTAATTAAGCCTATATAAGGCAATTGTTGATTTAAGGGCCATTCTTGCACCCTTTTTCCCATCTTCAGAGAGAGCAAACGTGAGAGAGAGTGAGAAGAGTGAGAGAGAAGTCAATTTAGAGAAGAATTAAGCTCAAACTAAGGGAATTTGCTAGCAAACTAGAGGAAATAGAAGAAATTGACTTGGAAGCCCAAAGACATTGCAATTTAGAACTCAATTGAGGATCTAGGTGAGTAATTGATTCCTAATCCTTGTGTTTAAGTTGGTAATGAAGAGAATTCAAGAAGTTCTTGTGACAAAGTATGAGAATTGCGTTAGAATTAAGAGAATTTAGATCATATCATGCATGCATGGTTATTTCATCAAATTTTGAGCTTGATTTCAAAGAATTCTTACATGCATGTGCTCTTTTTGTCTTTGTTTTAAGAGTTCAACATGTTTTTGTACTTAACATCTCATTTGAACAAGTTTTGAAAGCTTTGGAGCCAAGATACTTCATATATGTTATGCTTATGATATACCAAGTTTGATTTTACACAATTCTTAAGCTTTTGGGCCTTGATTTGGTGAAATGGTTTTGAATTCATGACGTTTGACAAGTTTAGACATGTTTTCTTAAGCTTTTGGTCCAAAAAGAACATGCTTTGTGGCTTTGAATTCGAGTTATGAGCTTGGGAGTGCAATATGGAAATTCCAGAATTTGCACCCTTCGCTTAAGTGACAGAACCTGCGCTCGAGCGCCCACTCTGTGATCTTGTTCTTCCGCTCGAGCGACCAGAAGTTCACTTAAGCGTGAAATGCATGCTCCCAGAAGTGCACATGTTTTGCAGCTCACTCGAGCTAGAAGAGTTGCCCTCGAGCGAGGACTTGAGTCATACGCTCGATTGAGCGTCGAGCGTGTATCGAGCGGAAAAATCTGACAACCAACACTTTTTCAAAGTTTGCAAACCGCTCAAGTGAGGGAAGTTACGCTAGAGAGACCACTCACATTTTTTATGTCCACTCGAGCGTGGGACCCTGTTTTTCAAAAATTTGACTAAGTGTTTTTCAATACATCTTGGCATCCTCATTGCATCCTAGGTATTTCTAGGCCAAGTTTGGGTCACCATAGTGGGAATAAGGAGTAGAAACTCATAAAGAGCAAAGTGAAATAAGTTACATATTATTTGAGCGTGTGTTTCAACTGTATATTGTTATGTGTCTGTGTAGGTCACACCACAAGATAGTTGAATCGCCTACTTAATCTATTTGCCTTGGAACTAACTGTGAGTAACAATGCTGTAAAGTTATGTTCAATTATAATTATTTTATGAATGATTAATTGTACTGCATTCTGAAATGATATTGTTTACTGAATGAATGTTTGTCCTGTTTTATGAATTGTACTTGTGGCATCCATAGCAACTGGCTGTTACTGCTACTGCTACTGTTACTGAGAACTATGTCAGTTCTAATCCTTAGAACTATTGTTATTGTATTGATGGCCATCAATTGACTATTCGGTCTTTTAAGACCTATTGTACTGTTCTGCTATTGGATGTACCACGTATGACTGCTATAATTACTATATGATAGATATGATATGAAATATGAGATATTCAAATGATCTACTGATGCAATTGACTGTTTAAAATGCTGAAAGGACATTCATTCATAATCTCTTTATACATTTGTTATTCACTAGGCTTTAGCTCACAATTTATTATATATGTATGTAGGCGACTAGTGTCACGACCCAAACCCGGCCCTATGGGTTTAGCACCGTAACCGGCCAGTAATCCGAGATTACCGAAGGCCTGCAGAACAGTAATACAGTAAAACAGAGTACAGGGCCTGGCGGAAGCCAATACAGTAAGTAAATAGTGTCCATTGAGCTGTGACAGTCTGTATGTAAAAGGCTTTTCATACATTTATACATAAACAGTACAGAACAGTATACACAATATTTACAATCATTCAGACTAGGGACTCGACCCTAGATAACAGTACAGTAACACTCGGTCTATACAGAACAGTAAAACAGTACAGAAGGGGGAAAAACAAACAAAACACCCCCAAGCCATAACATGGCAACTCGGAACCTCGCAGTGAGGCACAAAGGCTGGCTTGACAAAACTGGAGTAACCCTGACGCCTCTAGTTGCGGTCTGGTGCTTGAACACCCACATATATATATATATATATATGAGCAGTGAGCTAAAGCCCAGTGAATAACACAATATGTAAAGGGGTTAAGAATGAATGTCCTTACAGTATGAAAACAGTTCATTTCAATCAGTCATTCAGTTGTTCAGTACAGTAAACAGTCATATGTGGTACATCCATTAGCATAACAGTAACAGTAGGTCTTGAAAAACCGAACAGTAATGATGGCCATCAGTCAGTAAACAGTAGTGGTTCCACGAGGGAACCGACAGAGAATTCTGTCACAGTAACAGTAAACAGTAGGTGCTAAGGATGCCACAATACAGTTCAGAATATAGGACATACATTCATTCAATAAATAATACCAGTTCAGTAAACAGTTCAGAGACCCCGAATCAATTAATACATATGCATTTTGTGCACAAATAGAGAGAATACCTGACACAACGGTCTCGGTATTCTGCACATCTCCCGGTACTAGTGCGAACACTCGGCCTTGCCTCACAGGCTCTTTCCCGGTAGCTTTAGGGTTAGGCTTTGGTGGAGCAGTTGATGCTGCTGCTCTTGGTGCAGCTTTACTACTGGC